CACACACACTCACACACACACTCACACTCACACTCACACTCACACACACACACACACACACTCACACACACACACACAGCAGAGTAGAATATAAAAAAACAATACAAATAACAATTTATTTTCCATTTCAATACTGAATCAACATTAACTGCCACCAGATTATCTAACAATTTATCTTGTGTTGGCACAAATGTTATCTGTTTGTTTCTGGGTGTCAACAGGAAGCATGTGATGTGACAGTGCAGTTATGTGAAAGTGATGTGATGTTTTTTTAGCAGGTCTTATAGGTTTTGACAACGGTGGCCCTCCAAGTAATATTGAATTAAACTGGACAGAAAACTTCATCAAAATGTTGCAAAAATGTTACTTATGTCTCAAGTGAAGTAAGGCACATTTGTTCAAGCGTTTACAGGAAGATTGCAGGAAGAAAATTTTGTTTTAAGAGCTGCTGTTTCAGTACTTTTACTTGTAGCTGCCAACAACATTTAGAAATACTGTATCAAAACTAGCACATATAATAAAAATAACCCTCAGCAGCAGGATCAGTCAAAATTTCAGTCAAAACTTTCACTCCTAAAACCATTGTCATGGTTTGGAGACATTTGGAGACATGAACAAAGGTGGAAGCGAAGAATGAGACTAGTAAAATGTGCATATTTTCTGATTTGTAGCTTTAGATTTGTGTGTTATTTGAAAGACCAGTGTGTAGGATTTAGAGGCATCTAGTGGTGAAGTTGCAGATTTCAACTAACTGAACACCACTTGCGTTGTATTTGACAACCTGGGAATGAGAACAGGCTGTGAACATGAGGTCTTATCTAGAGTCAGTGTTTGGTTTGTCTGTTCTGAGCTACTGTAGAAACATGTCGGTTCAACATGGCTGTCTCCACGGAAAGCGACCCGTGGTGTCTGTAGATAAAAACAACTTATTCTAAAGTAACATTCAGGTGATTTCACACTAATGAAAACATATCTATTAATATATTATTCTATTCCTGCCAATAGATCCTCCTAAATGTTACACACTGGACCTTTAAATCACACATCACCGGCAGTGGGTTCGTCACTCACCGCACCATAGAAACTACTGCGGCTGGGTATCAGTCTGTGTCTTGCAGTTACAGTCGTACAGCAGGTCACTAGACTGAAGCAAAAACCGCAGACAAACATGAGAGCCATAGTGGCCCACACAAGGGTGGTGACAACGAAGGCGAACAGGTAGGTTGTCTTCTGGCAGTACGGAGCGGCTCCAGGTGTGTAGTTGGGAGGATATATAGGATAAACCCAGACGGTACCTACAGGGGAACATTTCAGAACATTTCACACTAAAACTGTAAACAATTTTTTCTCAATCTACTTCAGTGATGGTGATCCAACATGAACACATAATAACATACAGTTATACAGTTAATTTCTGCCTGTGCTGCTGGAGCACATACTTCCGAGCACCAATCAGGTTTCAGCAACATTTCAATCAGAATCTGATGACGGTCGGTGGTTTGTTTGGTCACCGTCAACCAAATCTGATCAAACTACACACTCAACTGTTTGAGCGTTAAATGTTAAAAAAATATGTTTTTTGTTTTATTTTAACTTGAAAGACCCTGAAAGCTCACCTTCAAATCCAAACGATCCAGAGAAATACTTAAAAATTCAAACCCAAGTTTTCTGTCACTTTAAACGAAGCATTGTACGTGTTTTTGAATTGTAGTATATAGTTTGAAATGGAAATACCTCAAAGTTGTAATAAGGTACAGCACCCAGGTAAAAGTACAGCCTGAATACTTACAAGAATGTAAAGTCTACATTTATCTTGGTATAAACAACACATCTGTCAGACATTTTCTCCCACCTGCGATGAACCAGCAGAAACTGAGGATGTGCAGGAAGGCTGTGCAGACCGAGGTCAAGATGTAGATACATCCATCCTTCATTATGCTCCTGGTGTAGGTCATACACAGAGAGACGATGCTGCCCGCTCCCAGCACTATCAGGTAGATGGGGATGTTGGGCTGTAGTGGACAACTGCCTAGATGTGTAGCCCCTACGATGGAGGTATCCAGAATAAAAAAAACAAATATTAACATGGGGGTTATAAAAAAGATGGTGCTTGCTGTCAAATATTTTGTGATCAAACTGAAGTAAACCCACCCAGATATATGGCTGCAATCATAACCATCCACCAAATAATATTCACCACAACTACAAGAGAGGAAGAGAGAGAGGGTCAAGGATCAGTATAACAGTAAAACATAAAATAAGGCAGACAGACATTATAGAGGAAAGACTTCTAACTTGTTGTTGAAATCAGCGCGGCGCTTTGAGGCCTGAATTCCACCTGTGCGTCCATATCTGCAGTGAAGAAAGTAAGAGTCTTGTCACAATTATACAGAGAAATAAACAGGCTGAAGGAGCAGCAATGTTAAATACTGTACCTGTCCAGCTCTGAACGGAGACACTTCAAAGCCTTCTTTTTCTTCTTCCAGTACTCACTGCCCGCTAATCCCTTCCTAACAGTCTCAGCTTTGTTAATATCCTTTGGTGTTTTGTCAGGATGTTAAGACATGTTGTTTCGAGCCAAAGCATTTCAACAACTGTTTCGCAACGCTCTCTGTGTTCAACTCGGAGGAAATAATGATACAATCTATTTCCCTTATCTGAATCAGCGTGCAAAGTGTTTTTTAAACCACAAACCAGTCACATGGTGTCCCTCGTTTTCTCTTGCAAACCACATGTTTATGAAGTTTTTACGTTTTGCAAATCATAATGTGATTGCATTGTGCTGCACGGAGGCTTGATGGATGAACTCCAGCAGAGAAAAGACCATGTGGTGCACTTGGAGTTACACAGACAGGAAACATTGTTTTATCAGCTCTCATCAGCGCAGCGTTCACAGGCTGCCAAGTCATCACACATTGTGTCATCTAATATTTTCTGTAGAGCAGTTGGACAGTTGACTGCTTATAAGTTTCTTTCTTTTTCTTTTTCTTTAATTTCAGCACCAGGACAAAAAAAAAGCTACCATAAGTTAAAATATGACATGTTCTGTTTGCCTGAATAAAAACAAAACACATTTTAGTCTTATATTCAGTATTTAAATGGTTTCTAGAAAGTGTGTTTTACTGAGATACGACACAGTGCTGCCGTTTTACAATGGTAACATCATTGACCATTCTTTAGCTATATTAATATCCTAAATCTAAATAGGGAAATGAATATAGTGCAAAGCCGTCCAGAGATGAAGAATTATTGATAAAATAAAAAAGAGACCTCTTTAAAAGTTTTAAAATAGCCCCGATGGCCCAAACTGCTCACTTTCAGCAGCATTAAAGAAAACAATCTGAGGGGCATCGGATGGGGAACCCAGCTGTAATCTGATCTCAGCCCCACCTTAAAGGGGGACTTCAGTATTGCACTTCCGTAAAGTTGTGGGACTTGCAAAAGAAAAAAAAGTTGGCTTCTCAACTGTTTCAGCAGTGTTACATTGTTGGACTCATGAGGGACAGTTTTAGTATCCAGAGATATTGTTTGTTTAATTCCATGCATTCTTCTTCCTTGTCAAAACCGCCTACATTTACCACAATGCAACTTGTCCACTGATGGTTCAGTTGGAGATTAAGTTATGCTTGTAGCAGCTAATGTAGCATCGAGCAGATATGAGGAGCAGGCTACAGAAGTTTTTGTTCTTTGTTCTTCTTAACATCTGTTTCATTTTCAAACTGACTCAAATGGCATCACTACAGTCATACTCCCCAAGTAAACCACGTAAACATGGCTCAAGTTCTGCAAGTCTTGAAAGAGTAGTGTGACAGTTGAAGTGGGTTTGTGTTGCAAAGGCTGACACACTTGACACCCTACAGGCAGTTGGCCACCACCTCACACACCAACGAGCCAGAACAGGATGTCAGTGCCAACACGACTTGATGCCAAGTGTCTCTGCGGTACCACTGCCACCCGGTGACAATCCCTGTGACAATTATACATGACTGCTTATATCCGTCAACCTGGCAATTTTTGATTTATTATAGTTTCCAAATGATGATGTATATTCACAAAATGTATCAAAACAGCAATTAAAACACACTCCAGCAGTTTCCATGTTAGTTTATTTTCACATGTTGCCATCTGATTTTATTTTTATGTGACATTTTATTTTGTTCACAGTATTTTGTTCGTGACACAATGAAAAGTTTCATCCAATGCATAATTTAAATCATGTTCAATCATTACTATTGATTAGTAAAGTTGTAAGGTTACCCTTCACTACTGAATTTGAATACAAGTGCTATTATAAAATACTATTTCTCATTGATTGTACTGTCACTGACCAGTTTACTGTTCTCTCCCTAATGTTTGATCATCTTCTTTCCCAGTGAAGAAATTGCATTTTTCAAACTTGCCTTAGTAGGCACCAGGTTAAAGGACTGACTCTTGATGACCTTTTTTAGCTGGAAGTCAATGATCATTTGAATAATAGGAGCAGCGGGGAAGTCCATGCAAACGATTCCAAGGCGCTGGTTCAGGTCCGTCTTGGACCTCAGGTAGTTATACAGCTGTGCATTGATGCGCTGAGCGACTGCTCTGGGGTACGCAAACAAACCAGCTCCACTGCTGTAGGTGAGGAAAATTTGGGCCATGTTTCCTGTAGGTGCGGCCTCCAGGTGCTCGTAGACGCTCTGCCATTTCTCCTCCAGGTGCAGAAGTGTGGGTACCTACAGGGATACATTTTTACATAAATGGCACCAACAGCTATGTGTTTTGGTCCTGTTCACCAGGGATTAATTAATACCATTTTAAGTGTACGTGTATGATTCTAACCCTTTGACGGACATATTCAATAACCAAGCTGTAAGTTGTGGTCTTTTAAACACTGCTTGTTTATATGTGCTGGATGGAGGATGTAATGAACATATCAAGCTCAAAGAGATATACTACTCTACTCAGCTGGAACATTTTATAACATCTACCAACCTGTGAGCTGGAGTTGGTTTTGATGCGTGTGTTCAATCAGTGGCACTTTCATACCTTCCAGTGATCGGCTTTGTCCAGGGAACCATAGCGCATCCCCAGGTCTGGCCCAGAAAACTCCTGCAGGACGATGAGTTTCCCTCGGGCCTCTGCCATGGTTGGCACGAGCCGGCTGTGCCACAGCATGTCCCAGTGAGCATAGCGATCAATGTAGTCTACCACAGCACCGTAGATGTCATACGTCTCGCTGAACTCCTCCCTTAGACGCATAAGCACTGTCTCATTGGGGTACTCTTGAAGGAAGTCAACCACACCCTCCAGCACGTGGCCAAAGTGTGCCCGTTGATAAGCCACCCCGTGATGGATGGTGAGGTTCCCTTTGACGTGACGGACACGGATGTCCAGGAAGCGGATGCCGGCTCTGAGCTGGGAGGCCAGGTTCCAGGTCTGGCACTCAGCATACACACCGCCGTACAGGGCCATGGTGTTGTGGGTCCCAGGCATGGTGACCTCAGACAGCAGCTGATCATCAGGGAGGCTGGCCATCCAGGACGGGTTGAGGAACTCCGGATTGGGTGTGTCATCATAGTCAGGTCTCTGAATGGCACCGTGACTCAAACCAATGAGTCTGAAACATAAAGCAGACTTGTCAGAGGTCTTTGTAGTGAATGCATCAGGTTTTCTTGATGTTCTTATTGTTCATGATGTAATAAAATAGGATGGAAATACATTTTTTATGTCTAATATTTTAAGCCGTCATACACTTTGTATTAACTGTTGGATTTCTTCATCATCACTCAAATAAAAATTAAAATAATAATGTGATATAAAACCTAAAATGGGAATGCAAATTAATACATTTGTACTCTGTTATTATGGTGCATTATTAATCTGAATGTTGCTTTACTTTACCTGCCGGTAAAAGTAATTATTAATTTAAGTCCTTTATTCCCCTTTCTATCCATCTTCTTAATTATTCTTATTATTAGTCTTTTTTATGCTTATAGTATAGTTAAGTTTTTATTTAGATATTTATATTTCACATAATGTGTTTTAAGCTTCTAGCCTTTGACTGCTTTAGCTTTGTTTTAGCAGTGTTTTCTCGTTGTGTGTATTTGGTAACATCAGTGACAAGCTGCTGCTTAAAACTGCCTTTGGTATAAATAAAGTTGTATTCAATTGAATTAAAATCCCAAAATGGGAAATTAGGAAAAGAAATACAATGTTATTTAGTCTGTTAAAATAATGTGTTACTCACCCCACCAGCACCATCAGCTCCATTAACATCTTCATCATGTCTGATCAGTTCTGATGATGAGAAATACAACTGAGGACAGAATTCAGTTAAATGTTACGTGAATAACAAACCAACCAATAAGATGATCACATAATTAACAAGTGGAAGGACAATAGATCTATGAATTAACTATCAATAAACTGGTAAACAGAACAATGACAGCAATAATCAAAACATACTGTACATCCGTACTTTATCCGCAATTATCTTTAAATATTCTGATAATATTTGACTAAGATGTTGATGATGACCTGACAAAGTATTGTAAAAAAAGGATGTTATACCCTTTCCTCCACTGATACATAAATATAACATAGTCTATGGTGCTCCTGTCATGGCTTTGACCCCTGCACTCCTGATTATTTGATACTAAATTCAAGAAAAATGCCTGAAATGTACATTTATCACAATGTGGCTAGGACTCAGTATCTGTTGAGAATAAAACAAACTTAATTTCCCCTCAACCAGGCTAGCATGTACCTGCACATTACCAAAAAAAATAAAAACGCGTTCCCTTTGTGAAAGTATGTCAGCAAATATAGAAACTAAACACTCAGTGGAAACAATTCAATCCTGGTCTGAGCTGAAGTTGACCTCAGCTCACCCCAGCAGGCCAATTCAATGGCAGGCTTAAACCTTTCTAATCCCACAACTGAACCAAAACCATCCACTGCTGCTGTGTCAAACCTGTTGATGTGTTGCTCTCGTTCCACTGCGGTTCATACCTGAAACCAGAAGGTGTTCGTCCTCAGGGTCCGGGTGACTGGGGGCAGAAAGAGGGAGAAAGAGAGAGAAAGAGAGAGTGAGAGAGAGAGAGAGAGAGGAGTGGAGGGGTCAGAGACAAAATGACAGAGTCAGTGTGTCGACCTGGGATGTTATTGTGGGAAATACCATAGAGGAGCAGCTGAGCGCTACGTTACAGAGCAGGGGTGGGAGCAGAGGGATGTGTTTGTGTGCGAGGGGTATTCATCTCATCACGTCCCTCGTTACATAAAAGAATATCCAAAAACGAAGCCAAGGGGGCGTGGATTAAAACATCCTATGAGTTTGTGAATTTAGTGTTGGGCTGCTGGACAAACTCGTGTTAAAGGGTTTCTTTGAGTCCACGTTGATGTTTACCTTCCTGTTACAGGGCCACTTCTTTTAAAAGTCCAGTTGGGTTCAGTGTTACAGGCTAAAACTATTTAAAATACAAAATATGTTCAGCAACAATCACTCAGGAATGATTTGTTTTAGTTACAATGGTATTAAGGGTCTATGTGTATCAGCGACACGTGAATGTTTTCCCACAGGCTTTCTTATCAGTTAGTGAAAGCCTAAAAGTAGGCCCAATATTGACAATACAAAAGTAAGAATTTCAATAGAATTTAAAAAAACAACAAAAAAAAAAACAACAACCTGTAGTTAAGATATAAAAAATGAATATAGGTAACAAATACAACACAAATGTTTTTCCATGCTGAAGAATTTTTGTTTGGCTCTCTAAAATGTAGTTTTAATTCAATTATATAAGGTGGACGAAATAACAGAAACACTGAGAATACCAACAAGGAGGATCGATATATTATATTTTGTCATCAGAAAAGCTCTTGTCCTCTATGTGATGATCTTATATTAGGGCATCCTGGGTCTGTTGCCTTTTCAGACAAAAGCATGAGCCTGAAATTCATATTTTTGGAAGAGCATCCCACAAAATAGTTAGAGTCCCGTCAGAGGACTGAAAGAGAGTGAGGATCTGCGCTCATAGTGTGTTTGTATGGTCCATGGAAAAATTCAGCAGATGTTTTACAGATTTGTCACATATCTGCACTATGTGGGAAGTCAAATATTACATAACAGACTTGTCCTTGTCCTGCTGGATAATATTTGATTAGCTGTAAATTATACACCCAGAGTGAAAAGAATAGAAATTACGGCTGTTTTATCAAAAAATCTGGCTAGTTGAATAAAGGTGAAACTAATAGCAGTTTCCTTCACTTTAACCAGAACAATGAAAACGTTCAACATATCTAATAAAATATACTGCAAAATTATGTGTGCTTAAAGCTAATTGTATTAACAATACTGTTAATTAATTTGAATTGTTTGTTCTAAAAGCCTCTTGTGAAGCTGACATAATATAATATAGATAATGTGAGTGGCCATGTGTGCAGGATTGTGTACTGCGATGCGTGACAGTGTAATTCTTTATACTTCCACCAAATGGCGCCAAAGTGATACATTTTAAAATCCTGGCTTTAAGTTTGAGTATTCCTCCATGTACAAAACATCAAGTAAAACACTTTAAATTGCCTTCGTGTATGAATTGCACAATATAAATCAACTTACCTTATTTTGCCACAGTCATAGCCAACAGAGCTGCTGCTGCTGCTGATGATGATGATGATGGACAAAATTTGGAAGAAGAGTGTGGAGGACATCCAGGAGAAGTCGCAGGAGATTGTGGACAAACAAAGAGTAAATGAGTAAATAAAATAGATATCCTATTCACAAATACATCAATCAATGAGCAAACTATAGTATATACAGTGGCAATAGAAAGTTTGTGAACCCGGGCCTCTGCAGTAAGGACGCTCAACTAGGTCAGCTATCGATGCGCCTCGCAAAACTATTTCTACAGAGGTTGGCCTTCATCAATCCACTGTTAGGCAGAAAATGGAGGAAATTCAGCACCATTGTTACTCTTCCCAGGAGCAGTCGTCACTCCAAGAGCAAGGCATGTAATTCTCCAGGTCACAAAGAACCTTAGGGTAACGAGGAACGAGGTAAGGAGGATCTACAGGATCTACTCTGTCAATGTTCCACCATCAGACAAACATTGAAGAAGAACTGTGTTCAGTAGGTGGGTCACTGAATAAAACAGCGAATGAGATGAGAGAAAGCAATCACAGCAGAAAGAGTAGCAAAGAGAAAGTCACTACTGTCTGAGAAGAACATTGCTGCCCATCTGAAGTTTGCTGAAGAATTAAACTTTTAAATGTTAAACATTTATATTATAAAGTCTCTGGTGAATGTGAACTCTGCACTCCATTATAAGACCCTCATCCGGTGGTGGCAGGATCATGGTTTGGGATTGCTTTGCTGCCCTGGGACGAGGGCAGCTTGCAATCATTGAATCATACCAGCAAATTGTACACAAGAGGTCACATTTATGCAGAAACACAGGAAACAGGAACGGTTCACAATATTTCTCGCAACACTGTACAATCCAGTGTCACACAAAGGCCATGCTTACACCTATTACTACTTATATTACTGCATAATTCTGACTACTGCAGCAGATGTAGATTGACTTTGATGTAAAATATACATTAAGAGCTGATTGTTATGATTATTGTCTAGATACTAAGACACAGAGGTTTGAATTATCTGTGGGGGAGCACTTACATTGCACTATAATACTTTATAGTACATAATGTATTTTATATTTCTCCACCAGAATTATTTCTTTTGGGGTGTGTGATTGTGGAATTTGAACTATTGATCTCAATACTTCTGTAATCCTGGCTATGGCCATAAAAGCTGTATCTGTACACCATGTGGCCAGGAAGCTTTTTACTTATTGTGCACTTGAGTTGCAACTACTTAGTGCATCATTTTGTTCATTGTATATATTGATATTTTAGTTTCAAAGTAAGTCAATGAGAGTCAAATTGTAAAGCGTATTGTAAGTGCACTCCACTGCATTTATGTGATTTATGTGTTTAGGTAACTGCTGATACATTTTTATTTAATCACGATGAAAACTTTAACAGTTGAACAATTAAATTGTATTTATATGGCACCAAATCATAAAAGGAATTATCTCAGGACACTTTTCCTATAGAGCAGGTCTAGTCTCTCTTGTTTTACAAAAATCTGGTAAATAGAACCAAAGTTACCTGCTTGTTTTAATAGCAGCTGACATAAGTGAGAAAAAATATATTTAGTAATTTGGGTAAACTGATCCTTTGCATCCCTGTTAAAAGACAAATGTATCACACTGGACACAAATGAAGGAATATTGCCAACTTTGCACGGTTCATGAGTTGTTTGAAATGTAATTTTCATAAAGTCAGTATCAGTGATAGTGAAAGTTTTCCTGTTTCTTGATTATAAAGAAATATACTAATAACTACTCTGGTATCTGGTCCGGTTTGGTTGGTATGTGAACCTACAATTAAACCAACACAGTGAAAAGGACACTCTATTCACTGCCTGTGGTTTCAGCCTGTGTGTGGAGCTTGCAGCCGCAGTGCATCTGGAGGAACTCCCCTCATCCAATCAGCACAGGGCCCACATGAGTCACTTCCTCATGTTTCCTCCCTTATTTGGAAGGAAGGGGCTGTCCTTATTTGACTAGGGAGGAAAATGGTGGAAAGGAGAGTCAGACGGCTCGAGTAAACAGAGGGATACCAACAGTTTCATCTCTGGTGAGTAAACATCTGTCGCCTCAGGGCTTTGTAATCTTTGATCTGAAGGATGTTTAAATCCTGCGTGATAGCCAGAGTCAGCTGGGACTGATGAAATGTAACGTAAAATATGGTTGATTCATATGTGTGTGTGTGGCTGGGAATCAGGAAATGAGAGAAACAGGCTTAAAAACAAACAAAGTAACACATCTTGAGTTAAAGTTAAAGATGCCAAATAGCCACTAGAAGCTATCGAAACTATTAAAGATGACATATGAAAGGTCACGACCCATAACCATTTGTTTATTTCCAGTCTTTCTTGTATTACTACAAAGACACACCCACTGTTGTCCCTGAGTTATTTTTCCAGCAGGACAGCATTGGCAAGGATGATTAATGCCCAAACTATGAGAAAGATGCTTTACAATTAAATTTTAGGGCTGTGGTCCCTGAAATTAGAAGTAGGTTTCAAATAATTAATCTGTGCTACTGCACTTAAATGCTTCATAAAATGATTTCCTTAAGCACAATGCTTCATTTTGAACTGTAGGCTTTATTCATAAAACACTGTGGAACAAGTTTCCTCTTTAGCTAATTCCATTAGTTGATTAATATACTAATATAACTTCTGGATGATCAATTAATCATTTGACTTATTTTGTAAAACTTAAATTCCCCAAATTAACTGACTCCACGATGTTGGGTGTGAATATTTACTCGTCTTTTCTTATATTAAACTAATATATTTGTTTTTGATTTTAGCATTTTCTGATTAATAGTAAGATTAATAAATCATGAAAGTATTAATTACTTCCAGCTCTAGCTTCCTCCTCTGCTCACATGTCAAAGCTCTTTGTGTCACTGTAGACAACACAAGCCTTCATTGCGACCTGTTGCCAGTAATATTAAAGTGTAAGATGACACCTTTTTTACAATATGGCGTATGTGCAACAGCTGGTGACATGTGGGCTGTAGTACCAGCAACCTGAGAGGTTGCTTAGTTTTTAGGGTCATGCAAAAAGACACAACATTTGAGGCTGTCAATCCTTTCGTTAAAGCTCTTAGATTGTGGTCTGAAGCTGAAGTTAAAAACATATGGTGCTGTCTTTTTTTAATCTCTCCCAGCCTCCAGACTCACTTTGTGTGAACCCTAACGTGGCAGAAGACAGCAGCGGCGATGGCTGATGCAGAAAAGATCAAGAAAACTGCAGCCAAGGTGCTGTGCTGCGTGGAGAAGGTGTCCTCCTTCGCCTCCTCCATCGACCCCATCTTTGGCATAGTCTCCTCCCTGGTCGGGGTGGCTCGCAAGGGCCTGGTTGACGAGGAGGGCCACGCTCTAGACAAGGACTTCCAGGCGATCAACACCAAACTGGAGAGCATCTCAGAAAAGAACCAGCAATGCCTGAGGAAGATCCGCATCGACGAGGTGAACGAAACATACGGCAAGTATGAGGAGTACATCAAGCACCAGTACACTGCCTTCAACAACATGGTGGCACAGGTGAAGAAAGATCCGGACAACACTCAGCGCCACATGGAGGCCTTCGAGAAGATTTATGAGAGGGACAAGAGCGACCTGAGCCTGGATGTGTACTACAACGGTGTCATGGGTACCAAATCGCTGTTTGGAAGATCCCTGCTGAAGGTGTACCTGGACAGCTGCGACGGCGACCGCGAGATCATGGAGCGCCGCTGTTCACACATCGCCCACCTGTTCCACATGGGCCTCATCGCCCTCATGGCCTACACAGCTGTTACAGAGGACGACGAAGACGAGGTGCGGGAAAAGTGGGCAAAGAGGGTGGAGGACATCCAGAAGAAGATGCAGGAGGTGCTCAGTCAGTGCAAAGACAGCTCATCCTGAACATGGTCCAGCAGAGAAAGGATGTCCTCTGGGGGGTTCGGTGGCAACGACACTGGGAACAATCTGTACTCTGGACCAATGGAAAAATACAAATTATGTTATAATATATATATATATATATATAAATAAAAACCAAAGCCATTGTTTTGTGCACTTGAGCTGCGGCTGTTATTCCTATTGCAGCATTGTAGTTATTGTATCGGCTTTTTGTGTTATTTTTTGTTTTGTTTTAAAGAGACCACTATATGTTTCAGCTGCTTTGTGTTACTGTACGTCAATAAATGCTGAAGTTTTATACAATCACTTCAATTAAAATGTACAAATTATTAGTTGATCCAAGTTGTATGTTTGTGAAATCCATTTCATCTACACTAAAAAAAACGGCCATGTTGTGCTACATGTACTACCGTCTATTGTACGTGGTCATAGGTCTGAATTCAAAATGGATTATTCTTTTATATCGACACACGAACACACATCCTCTTTAAGAAAAAACATCTCTTAATACTATTTAATATCCCTAACCTTGAATGAATACCAGATACACAATAAACTTGAAGCTTGACAAACTATTTGAATCCATTGTTACAGTCACACCTCAGGTGAAACTTATTATGCTGCTTCTCTCACCTTATTCTGGCTTTGACCCAAATAAAGTAATAAAACTAATCTTCATTTTGAACTTGGTCTCTGGAAACACGCTTCAGCAAAACAAAACAACCTAGACATCAAGACATCAACTTGCCTTATTGGAAATTGTAATGGGAATTTTTCATTGTATTTCACAATATTTGATAAATAAATCAATGGTAAAAGAACTGCATTTATATTGTTATATTATATATACCTTAACAGAAATCATTCTTGTGGACAGCAGAAGATTGACGCAACTCTCTTTTTGTCAGCTAAAGCAGACCGGCCACCAATCGGCTCATTATCTTAGCATAGCATAAAGGGTGCAAACAAAGGGAAACAGCTAGCCTAGCTCTGTCCAGCAGTAAGTAAAAAAACAACTAATAATTGTTTTATTAGTATATGTATAGACTTTTTCTTGGCTGGTAACTTCCTGAAGTCTATGGAGACTGACATTGCCTGTCAGAGCCAAACAATATTCCAGCACAACAAAACACTTTAGTTCTTAAATGGATGAAAACAAGATTGTTAGATTTCTTGCTTGAGAGCTCACAGTGACTGCCTGCGCCAAGTTGCTTTACGGAAGATTTCCTAGAAAGCAGGGCTCCCGGAAATGAAGCAGTAGCTCATGACCCCATTACATCCTTCCAGTGAAAACTGCCCCAGTTTTCGATCATGACAGGAACCCATTGGAACAGTGTTTGTGGTTTCCATTTTTCATCTCCAATGCACCTCCCCCCAACGATGTCTATCTGGCAAACAATATGAAAAGAATAGGCCAGAAAAAAGTACAGTGATACAATTAAGAGCCATACTGTAACCCCCTCTACGTTTTTGCACTTGGACCAACGAGCGCAGTGGGTGGGGGTACGTTGTATATGAGACTGGGTGCTACGACATAAACGTTTAAGCGTCCTACCTAGGAAGAGACCACAAACTCTCACTGAAGGTACCCAGAAATGGTGACACAGACTCCCAGAAAGGGCAAAGAGAATGACCTGAGCAGCTATATAAATAGATGTAGATACCTACCAACCTAAGTATCAAGCAGGCAAATAACAAATACAACAATGATAACAAGAAGTAGGATTAATGCAATTGATATCATATGAGTATTTGAGCATAGGTCGTCTTCTGCTGCTCCAAGTAATTGTTAGATGACAGTAGAGAGGACCCCCCAGGAAGAGGTTACTAGCAACATTGATGCAAGGCGGGGTTTCAATCGTCTTCCCAGGGCGTGTAAGTCAGGGTGATCCTTATCCCTGTGCTCTGAATGTAGCATACCATTTTGGGCATACCAAATACATTTTACCCTTATCAGGACTGAAATTTTAATTTTCAAACATTATTCCCCTTTTCTCATGTACATTCGCATTGTATGGCCAATACTTACAATGCA